GTAATTTTAAAAAGTTTTTATTTTTGTTATACAAATTGATTTACATATTATTCCTGATTTTTAACTCTGATTAGCTAGTGAAATTTACTATATGAGTATTAAACTTCTCCTTTAAAAAATACTTGTATATAGTATTCTTTTTTTTATTTTAAGGTAACCTTCAGATCAAGCTTTATTGATATTTGTCATTAACATTTTAGTATTACAATGAGGATACAATTAGCTATATATACAACTTTAGGTTGCCTATTTAAGTAGTTTATCCAAAGGTTCTACACTAGTTGCCATACCTGCAGTCTACTTGAAGATTGTCTATTTAACCCTTCTGATTATATATACTTACTAATTATTTAAGCCAGATATCTTTATAACAAAGTATCTTACTAGCTAGTGAATAGTTCACAAAATCTTTTATTGCCAGCTTCTGACTCTTATAGTGTTTACCTAAATTCTATTCTCTACTTCACAGCATATCTTTTATCAAGAAAATAAATTTAGTGCAAATTTGTGCAAATTTTTAAGCAAATTTAATATATAAAAATTTGTGAAAATTTGCTAACCTGCCAGAAATTTTCAGAAAAAATATAAAAATTTATACAAATTTTTATAAATTTAATTATTTGCAAAAATATTTAATAAAATAAATTTTACAAATCTGTAAAAAATTTTTTAAAATTTTCTTTAAAGTATTATATATAATTAGCTCTTTCTTAGTTCTACTAAATAAAAGATAAAAATTTATATATTTAAGATTTTTTGCAAATTTTTGAAAATTTTTGTTTTTAAATATATAAATTTATTTTATTAAAAATTTTTGCTAATAGTTAAAATATAAAAATTTGTGCAAATTTTTATTTTTTTATTTTGAAGATTTCTAGCAGGTTAGCAAATTTTCGCAAATTTTTATATATTAAATTTGCTTAAAAATTTGTATAAACTTGCACTAAATTCATTTTCTTGATATTAGTACTTTAGTATTCTATTTACAAGTCTCTCTGAACTTCTAATTCAGATGACCCAGAAGGACTGTGATCTGTTTTAATATGTAATACTAGACTATATTTTTTTTTCTAATGACAATAGACTAGATAGTTTGGTTAGTTTATTAGTTCTTGGCTTTTGTTGCTTAGTTTATCTATTTCACATTGTTTATTTTCTAGGTCTAAACTTTATAGTAGTTTTGTCAAAGATCTAAATTATGTTTTTACTCATGATTTTAGATAAACTTTAGTTCTTTCAGTCTCTTAAATTTCTGTGTTTGATGGTCTATTATGTGTTTGCACTAATATCAGTAACAACTTTATTTCTTTGTATTTTGTTTAATATTATACAAATATCCTGAGCTTCTAGTTTTGTTGATATAACAAAATTACAAATAATCTAATCTAACTAATTAATAAAGAACTATATACTGTAATACAAGCTATAAATTTAAATTTTCTGCTTTAAAAGAAATTAAACTCTAGACTTGTAATCTTGGAGTAACAATCTACTTTTGTGTAAAGCATCCAACCTGTCAACTACACTACTTCACTATACCTCTATTTGCATATAAAGAAGGTGGGAGTATTGTGTCCAGGAGGGTATTGTGGCCAAGTAGCATATCTCGTGATCTACTAATCAGAATTGAATAATTTTTATACTATTCAATTTGTCTTGATGAATTAAATGGTACAAAATTTATCTAATTCTGCTCACTAGATCATGAGATATCATCATTTATACAAAATATAAATTTTCGTGCATATTTGGATTTATTATTAAATATATATAGAATCTTTAATAGTTAATAACTTTTAATCAACTGGTCTGTTTTGAATAATTTAACTACCAAAATGATCATCTCAATAAGACAATCATAACAAGCATAAAATCATCAAAATCCAATTACGGAGTCCTGAGATTGATATTGATTTATCTTATTTCAAAAATTATATTAGTAATTGTGCAAATTTTTATATATAAATCTTTAATGTTCTTGGGATCTTGTAATTAAATTTTAACAATTTTGTACATATTAGAATCATCTTTTTGCGATGGATATTTTGGTGGTAAAATCATTCAAAATGGACCTGTAGATCAAAGTTATTCACTGTTAAATAAGTTGGCTACAATATCCCCACTCCTCTAAAATTTGGTTTTTATATTCTATTTATATACTAATTATTTATGTCTAAAAATATATATGATATAAAGATTTTTTTACAGTATTTTATTCTTTATAAAGCATAATTCAAATAATAATAATTATATAAAAATCTATATGTTTATTAAAAAGTTTTATTAGTAGAAACTTTAATTTGGCCACAATCCTCTACCTCTCTTATATATCAAGATATCACATTTTAACAATTTACTAATTAAATTATATATCTGCAGTATAATATGAAAATTAAGTGTAATATTAAATTTTGTTTTTTTTTAAAGAAATTATCAATATCTCAAAATTTTGTATATAAAATAGCATTTAATATCTTAATAAAAAAATTCTTTACAAAATTTTACTATATATTATATACTACTTTAATCTTTAACTATCAGCTTTAAATTAATGTTAAACTTAATTAATTGATATATAAAAATAGATTTTGATTTTGCATTATACAAATTTGTAATTATTGTTTATATAAATGCAATATATAAGTATATTGTATAGTGTGATATATATTTATTCAAAATTTAATATTAAGTTAAATTGAAACTTTGTTTAATCTTTGATTAAGTTAATAAAGTTTTGTAAAATAAAATCAGTTATTGTTAAAAACAGAAATAGTATATTAAAATTGTTGTATATTTGTATATTATCAAGATTTTTAATCTGAAAATATAGATTTGTTATATATTTAGTTAATATATTAAGAGTAGATAGTTTAAGAGTATCTCTTATATAATTTGCTACGGATAGATAAACAACTAAGAGATAAACATTATGAGATAAACAATAGGAGACAAAAATAATATTTGATTGGCTGAACATATGTAAATAAAATCACATGTCGATCATCACATTACACAATACATATCAATCATCATGTTACTGCAGTGCTTTAATTGATTTTCTCCAGTATCACTATCAAAATTCACCCCACATAACCAACGAAAAAATTCTTTAAGATTTGGGTTTAGTTGATTATATAGTAAAATTGTTCAAGGAAAACTTTTTATTAGTGCACAAAAGGTGGTTTCCTATACAAACTTTTGAGAAATAAGGATTTTGGACAAAAGTGACGTTTGTTTTGAATTTAACTGATCATGTTACGTTATACTAAATTGTGATCTGTTATTGGTCAAAAATCACGTAGAGTGAATCTTTGATGACGATACTGGGGTAAATGCTTTAATTGAATGTTTACTTCAATTGAAAAATTAATAAAGTATAAAGGTACTTAAATTCGGAGCAACGTGATGAGTCTTATGTTAGTATTAATATAATTTGTAAATAAAAATTTTTAAGTGTTAAGAATTTAAATATACTAGCTAATAAAGTACTATACTAGTTTGTTTATATGTATTTATAACAGTTTGGTGAAAAATGCTATATATATATATTTTTAATCTTCAAAGATGAGGCCATGCCTAAAAATATTATATTTTTAAACCATACATTTTAAAAGTTATTATACTTTTTAAAAAACAAAACCACTAAATTATAATAAATTAATTTAGCTACAAAATAGTAATTTTCTTTTTTAAATATCTTTTTTAGATTAAAAGTTAATAGTTTTTAACATTTGTATAGTTTTTAAGTATCATACACTATAGTTTTGTAAAGTTTTGATTTATTATATTTTGATGTTTTAAATAAAAGAGAACAAGACAAAAATTTATTTTAATTTGTTATTTATTTCTATTAAAAATACAATATTATACAAATTTTTTATATTATTTAAGCAAGATCAACTTTGATTTTATATTTTATATTATTTTTTCTAGTATTTTCATCTTTTTTATAATGACAAATATACTGTATATTCCTTAGATTGTAATAAAATGTAGTCAAATTTGTCTGTAATTTTGTACTTTTTAGCTCTAATTTATTGTTTTAAAAAACTAAAATAATTAAATAAACTTATACAATTATATTTAAAAATAAGAATTATTTTTTTGCAGTATTTATTTTAGATTATAAAAAAAAAATTTAGATTATTTATAAATTAAAAATTTACAATTTTAAAAATAATTTTTGAAGCAAAAATTTTTTAGTTTATTTATAATAAACTTTTAATTATTATAAATTAAAAGTTAGTTTATAGTGATCTTATAATTGATTAATCAAAATTAATTATATAAGTCATGTAATTACCAATTTGTAAAGTAATATATATAAAGCAGACAACGATCATGTGACTCACAGGACCAATTTTAATCGATTGATCACTCAAAGAATATCATATAATGAAACTAATCACTACAAATTAAAAAAAATTTTTTTTTAAAAAATATTATGCAAATATTTTTTAATGATAATTACTATTTGTATACGGGGTATACAAACACGGATTGGCAACTCACATGATATTGTAGATAAATGCGAACATGTGACTAACTCTGCATATTCTAACCCTAATCCTAACTCTAATGCCAGCTATGCTATATTGATTAGTTGAATGTAGCTATAAAAATTACAGTATTTGGTTTACGTAAGTTATGAACACAATACTGGCTAAAGTTAATGCTGGTAAATAGTGTGTCTATAAGCATTTGTTCGTAGTCACAATAAACAGATACATATAATATATGCAAACGTCAAATTACAGCCAACTTTACTATTTAATGCCGGCATTAATTAAATCTAACTTTCTTAACCTTCAAAGATATATTTGAAGTATAACTATATAAATATCAATACTGATTAACAACAATTCTAAATCAACTTTCAAACATAGATAGTCTTTATTTTTTGTGTTGCATTTTACAGTATAATTTTGACTCAATTTAGTTATTTGAACCAGACTTAATGATACTGAATTATTAAATTTGATTCAAATTACTGAATCAGCTCAATGATCTAAGGAATTAAAACTTATCGTAAGGTACCAATAATCAAACATTGCAATTTCAATTGCAATTAGTATCAAATTATCTTGACTATAACTGATAATTACATACGCTCACAGGTTTTAGAATAATGACCCAACTGTTTACATTTTTCACATCTATGCCCTTATTATCACTTAAACTTTTGTTATTCAAATCAAATTTCAACACTTCATTATTTATATTAAACAATGTATTAGCTTTTAGTAGTTGCTTACCCTTGTGCAAGGTTTGTTCTATACTTGATTTGAGTCTTTTAGGAGGGCGTCCCTTATGTTTAGTAATGATCAGGTTTTTAACAATATCCATTTGATTTTCTTGTTCTTGATCAACATTTACTTTGTTTTGCGCTTCATTAAGGAAATTATTGAGGACATCAGATAGTTTATTATATAAATCAACCTTAAGTGCAAGGTTGATCACCTTTTTAGATAACCTGAATAACTTGGCATATCTTGCTTTAGCATTAGATGATTTGATCCTTGATTTACAATTTTGCCGAATTGAAAAAAGGTGTTCTAATGTTACATGTTGTGTAACTTCAGGAGTATGTTGCTCTGATATAGAAATAGTCATTGCAGGTAATTGAACCAGATTATTGGATGTAATATTTGGCTCTAAATACCAACGATTCAGAATAAGTGCAATATGAAATGCAGCTAATAGAGAATAAGTACCAACACGAAAAAAATGTCAGCAAACTAACCCTTTATTAACCAGAAGAAGACAGGTACATAAGTGTGTACCGTCATTGAGTAAGATTATATAGTGTCCATGTCCTGAACTTCCCGGCCATACTTGAAGAATTATTTTATGTGGAATGCCTTGTATTAAAGATGCGAATAGAATTTGGCACACATCATATTCTTGTTCCCTAACCCAAAGTCCAATATTGCTTTTATCTATATGTCCCTATAAGAACAAATATCATTAAATTGTATATGAGATTAATAAAAACAGAAATAATACAAATATTTATGTATGTATATACGTATGTACATATGTATGTACATACCTTTATCAACTCATGCCAATTTTGGACACATACAATATCATAACATACACTTAAATTCATTTCATCACATTGTTTTCCAAGCATAGTAGGTGTAAGGAATTGCTTTAACATTTCATCAATTTTTGAAAAAAATCGATTACATAGCATTAGTAACCCAGTTGTAGGAAGTGCATGGCGTTGAGTTTCAAACTTAGTTAAGTGCTTTTCTTAATTAACATAATCATTAAGATTGGTTAATAAATTATATAAAGAAGTTGCATGATCAACTTTTTGATGAATATGCATGTTGATACATTCGACTCTTTGAGTGCTTTGCACTTCTGCTATAAATGTTTTGTTGACCCAGGGAATAGCCCATGATTCTTTGCTATTATAAAGGGTGTTAGTCATGTAATTTGCAACCGCCGAATAATTCTCTAATAATTTTGCTCATCTACTTTCGAAAAGGTCTATATATAGGCTATTACGACAAGCATAAAAATCTGACTGAAATGCCTCAAATTGAGAGCCTAATTTACTTCTAAATTTTTTTTGAGATTTAAATCCACATAAAATATACACAGATTATGGTTTGCAGTGAGATATACATTCTTGATTGCACTTATTATAGCGGGATCGCTATCAGTAAATATTATTGTTGGAACAATGCCTGTTTCTTCAAATAATTCCTCAAAAAGCTATTGAAACGTATTTAAAGTTTCATCCTTAATAATACTGCATGCTACAATTCATGTTTTAAAGTGATTATCAATCACAGTGATAATGTAGAGCATTAATTGAAACCTATTTGTGCTTGAAGTAGTATTCATTATTACTACATCGTGAAAAGTTTCATATAAAGCTCTTTAAGAGCATGACATCCAAAATAATGAGACTAATCTTCTAGAGATGGGTCTAAACGTAACTTAACAACCCATAATAGGTTTTCTTCTTTCTATTTTAATAGTGTCTGAAGCATTAATGATGCATCTGAATCACTCAGGTTATTTTTTCGTCTAAAGCAGACACAGCATTGTATAAATCACGTTTGTGCAAGGGATGTTCAGAGTAATCATGTTTAAGTAGAGGGTATATAGTTCCTGAATCCATTCGTCCTTGAATGATGTATTTTTCAATATTAGCTAACATTTCTGGTGTTAACTTTCGAAACTGAGGAGAAATTTCTCTAATTATAGAGGTAAGCAGGTGGGTGTGATGATTGTTGAATAAATTAATTTTTACTACTGACGATGTTTTAGGAAATATAACATTCAACTTCCAATGGCATTCTGTTCGCTGAGATATATTGTTGCACCTTCTAATTGGGTCTGTTGTCACTTTTGAATTATATATACCAGCTTTGATATATACGTAATTAACCCATCTAACCACACCAACTTCATCCTTTTCACTAGTCCTAATTTTATAATCAAAACCTTCCTGTAATGCAAATTTATTTAGCCAAGCTTTAAACGATTGCCAATTCTGATACGAAAGCCCTGAAATCAATTCTAAATGTTTGTTATCCAACTCATCATCTTGAAATTCATTATCGGATATTTTACACAAATGAACCATTTCATTATGGACTTCTTCCCTACTATCTTCAAAAAGTAGTGCTTTTTGGGCATCATAGTGAATGTTAAGGTCATTAGGATCGTGAACATGAAGGTCGTTAGGATGGTAAACATGAAGGTCGTTAGAATCATAAACATGAAGGTCGTTAGAATCATGAACATAAAGGTCATTAGGGTGGTGAATATGAAGATCGTTCAGATCGTGAACATGAAGGTCATTAGGATCGTAAACATGAAGGTCATTAGGATCCTGAATAAATTGAACATAAGTATCGTCTTGTATATGTGATGTGTTAAAGTTGTTAGGTGTATGTGAACAGTTAGAAATTTGAAACTGGTCGTTTAGTGCCTGAATATCATTATAATATAAGTCATAAAGTTCTTGGAGAGAATAATCTGAAGTATCTTGATGAAAATTTGTGGAATGCTGATCAGATTCGGTGGCGTAAAACCTTTGGATATTTTGGTGATCACTAAGACTTTGCAAGTACTGGAAATTTTGAGTGTCACGGACATTGTGAAAAACTTGGTCATGTGAATAACAATTATCAGGATTATCCAAATTCATATTGGCTTCGAAGGTCAAGAGTGATGTCATTTTTGGTAAAGTTATATTTGAGAGATATAAACGATGCAATGATACAAGAAATAAAGAGCGTAAAAAAAAAAAAAATTGAGACTATATTTCTACAAATTGGCATTATATCATAGCGACACAAAATAAAATTTTGTATCACAGGATCCGGGTTTCAAACACTGTATGATTATAAATTTTCTCTAGCAACACAAAATAAAATCGTCATCACGTGACCTGGGTTTCAAACACTACGTGTACGATTATAAATTTTCTAGAAGTAATATATCAAGTTAGTATTAAAGATTCACAATATAATAACAAGACATAGAAAAAGAAAAAGAAAGAGTTGCTTGCAAAATGGATACATGGTATGAAATCCTATTAGAATCTAAGATGTCTGAAAGATCAAAGAAGTATGGATTTGAATTCACTTCAAGATACAATAGATTATAGATGAAAAGATACCAAAAATTGGAAAAAGAAGAAAAAGATATATTATTGGAGATACTAAAAAAGATCTTTGTAGAAATCCTTGAGAATCAGAGAATCTTTGTTGAAATTCAAGAAAAATTTTTGGAAAGAAAACTAAAGCCTAGGAAGAAAAAGAAAAAGAAGAAGGTAAAGAAAAGGAAAAGAAAAGACCTTTATACTCAGAATATAGAAGAAAATAAATCTGAGTAGATTATACAAGACTACAGAATGGAAAGACCAAAAGAAGGCCCAAGATTTTTTTAAGAAAAGAAAACTTACAGAAGAGTATCAGCAAAAAAAGATTGTAAAAAAAGCTTCCAAGAAGCAGAAAAAGACTACAAAGCTATGAAATATAAGGTCTTAAGAAATGGGTCTTTAATTAAAAAGGACAGGTTTAATGAAAAGAAAACGCAAATATAAACAAGAGATTTTTGGCAATATTCTCTTATCGAGAAAGAAGATAGAATTGTTTATTAATAGAAAATTAGTTTTAGTTTATGATAAAATGGAGGATAGGTTAGAAAGAAAAAATTGTCAATTTAGTTTAGTTAAAAATCTCTTTAAATCAAAACCATCTTGCTATAGTTTCACCAGCTAGCTTGATGCAGCTCTCCAGTATGGACAATAGCCTTAATCGGTGAGGCAGACCGCATTTGAGCGCCTATAGAAGAAGCCGAGTGATGTCAGATCTATAACTTAGATAGTTTATAATGTAACTATGCATTAGCTTTGATCTAATAAAGATACTGACAAAGCTGCCAATAAAGGAAAAAAAAAATTAGAATTTAGTATTAAAAATTTTTTAGGTTTTCTAAAATTTTATATGTTCTGAAGCTAAAAAAAATTT